TATATTTCTTTGTAATAGTTTGACTTAATTTTGAAAATGATAAACATTTCTATAGCTAATTATGAAAAAAATTACCCCAATCAGTGACCGACCTGAATGGAAAAGAAAAATAATAAAAAAATAAAAATATCAATCCCATTTGATAGAAAAGGTGTGCAAAAAATTACTTACAAATACTTGGCTCATAGGCGATGATGCCGTCATTTACATCCATGTATGGTGGGAATATGGTTGAATCAGTGCCAGTATATTGATTGCATTCATCACCCTCCCAGTAGTCCATTTCAGGCTCATCGTTGAAAGCAACCACTTTTCCAATATCGGGTGAATTCTTCTTTCCGCGAAACACTGTAAATTCACCCAGATCGGTGGCATTTCCCTTATGACAAAAAGATAAACATTGTTCACATTTCAATTGCATGGCATAGTTGTCAATTTATGTTCTAATACGAGGTAGACATTTTTTTTCAGTGAATTTCTATGTAAAAGTAAAACTAACCGCTTGAAATAATGAAAATTTAAAGAAAGTGTCATTATGTGGTTGAACAGCTGCCACTGCGCCACTGCTGAAGACACCGCAAACGGCTGTATAAATAAATGATTGTTAATAAATCCAATGGAATCCAAAATAAAATTAAAAAATTAACCTTTTGCCGCCATTGTTTCATCTGCGGTGCTACAATCAATGGGAATACCATCGAAAAGAACATCCATAACTCGGCCCGTCCAAAACATATCTTTGGGATTATGGAAAATGGCGTCTATTGCCGTTGCCGTCATAGGGATCATAGGCTTTTTGTCCACATTCAAAGTCATAAACATCGTTGTAATCACTAGATACATTTTGAATACACCACATTCGGAAAATAATTAATCCACGCAATGAAAATGTTCTGATCTTAATAATTTGAACTTTTTTGTTTTTTTTTTTACATATTTTGTTTATCGCTTTAAAATTCCAAATTGTAGCAAGAAACATTTACTTTAATTTGACTTCATCCCGCAGATAGTATAGTTTAACCAAAAATATAACGTACAAGGATGTGGCATCGTGATGATCTCGTTGCCAGTCAAGCCATCGCCACTCAAATCGGGACGAAATATGAATGTGTTTTTATAATGATACTTGAGTGTATCCTCTTCATCGTTATCAACCAAATCAAATTTCTCTTTCCATTCCCTACGCATGACCAATCGAGCAAAACACGATAATTTAAAAAATATTGAGAATGTGTTGCAAAGATATCACTGAATTAAAATAATGAATAATTTGTACTAACTCAAAAAAGTACGGTCCAACCTCCTGAACTTTTGGCTTTCCGCCTATATAAAAGTGAGACACCTCAATTAGTACCACATCTGCATTTTTTTGAATAAACACATTCACAATACCGACCTTTGGTAACTTCATCCGGATTCGTTAAGTTGAACACGTAAATGCGAAAATCAAGGAAAAACGGAACTTTTACGTAAAGCGGTCGAAGTTGTGATTTGGGCAAAAGATTGAGTTGCTGCAGAAAAATTACACATTATCATTAATTTATTTGTCCCTAAACATAAAGAGTCCATTTTAAACATAAAAAAAATCATGGTCTCTTACACCTTTGACCATTTTTTTGAAGAGCATCGGTGCAATCATTCCAAAAAATCCTAATCCAGTCAAAAAAATGCATATACTTATTATGCCACACTTGATGGCATTCCACCTCTGCAAAAAAGCTGGCAATTGCATCTTGCAATTCACAATTCAATTACGATTCCGTCCAAAAAAAAAATACTTATTTTTGTTTTGAATTTTTCACAATTTGATTATACAAAATTGAAATTTATCAATTCACTTTTTTAAAAAACAAAATTAAGTTTTGAAGGTCGTCGTTAATTCATCAATGGTATTTCATATTATATGAAACAAAAATAAATTCGGTTATATTTTTAAGATTTGAATTTTATTTATTTTCGAAAAGATGTTCGTATAAAAGATACTTCGATAAAAGATGACTTTAAAGAAAATAAAAATAAAAAGACAAAGTGAAAAGAACGAACAATTTTAAGATTCAATATTTCTGCGTGTATGATAAAAAGATTTGATATCACCGACCGAACAGATTGAATGCAAAACGAAAACTAAATACTTATTTGTCACAATCAGGATACCATTCGATGGATACTGGCATGACTTGTTGTTTTATGAATAGATAATTACGTGCTTCTAAAACGATGATGTGCATTTTCAATAAAGAGCTCAACACATGTAGAGAAAGAACTCAACAAATGGCATGTATTGGATATTTTGTATATCATTGCCGATTGTAGAAGTGTTAAAGTCGTTTGGATAACGTGTATCGGCTTGAAAATGTTGGATTGCAACATCGAATAAATTGTCATCGTCGCTGTTCTACTTTTCCTGCATTCAAAGAAAGTGGACTCATTTATATTTTAATGAAATTGAAAATTCTAATGCAATTGATTTTATGAAACCAAAAAAAAAAAAACACGTAATCATTTATTTATCGTATCTTCGGGAACGTTTATTTAATTTTTTATCGTTGCTTGGATTTTAATTATTCAATTTGATAAATCGTAAGATACCTTGCATAACAATTCGTCTCTTTATTTTATCTACGGATGCCTCGATTTTTCAATCTCTTTATTCAATTTCGTCATTTTTTAAATAAATCAGTCTCGGTCCAAATCCGAATAAACCGCAATATTTTGTAAATATTTTGTAAATATTTTTTTTAATGTATAATTTTCGCTCTCGCAACAAAATTGACCTTTAACAGCTCGGAAAAATGTCATATGCTTTTTGCATAATTAACATGTTTTCAACGAATAAACCGCAACGCTCGTAATAAGTCAAATATTTCTTGTTTAACTGAAGACCTTGTAGAAAATCGAAGACGATGTAGGAAAACAAAAAAAAAGTGGCGTTGAATTGAACGTTTGCTATGTGATTTGATTGATAGATTGTAGAGTTCCGCCTTTCGATTCTCGCGGAATACGTCGTGCGGAAAATAACATAGGCCAGCGTGAATTGTGCTGCAAAAGTTAGTAAAATATTTAAAATGTACACCAATATCGAAACCAATATAAACAGAATGGCAATTTGATCGATACCATTTTGGGGGTTAGATTCAAAACTGTATAATTATGGAATTGTTCCTCATCATTTTGCTTGCGGCCACATTTCAAAGTGTCATCTTTGTATATCTTCGTGATTTCTATCGATAGATCGATTGCATTTGATAACATGTGATTAGTTGTACGGAATTTGTGTTGTTGTACTGTCACCTAATGACGGAGTCAACTCACAAAAAGACAGTTTATGAATAGAATGTGAAGAATTGGCAGCCGCCGGCGATTGAAAAATGAACATAAAGTTTTTGATTCGTTTTGTGTTTTGTTGATAAAGATTATCTCGATAGTTTTGAAAAGTGGCTAGATCAAGAGATCAATCATTGCAATAATTCTATATATGGTGAAATGAAAGAAAAATTCGTCATCAAATTGGTTTTGTTTTTCTCTCTTACATGTTATGATTTTATTTCAACTTTTGCTATTTCATTTTACATCTACAAATAGTGAGTTTTTTTTTTAATATTGACAAAACAGTCTGAAGTGTGATTCAAATTGACTTCAGTCGATTATATTGTTATCGCGTTATTTATGAATTTCAAATCATTCTCTTTAATTTGAAGTCAATTAAACTACAACCAGAATAGAATATTAGAGTTGATTCCGAACTTGTTTTACTACTTCTATTTTCCATTTGCATTTCCTCGTCGCTACGTCATTTCTTGTATGCGTGCTTGCAAATCGTTGCCATTTTTTGGTGTCTATTGAGTATACGGTAGCTTTATTGAGTTGTGTAAAGTAGTTTGAACTCTTTAGGCGGACGGTCTTTTTTTATTAAATTTAAAAATAGTGATTCATTCGAATAGTGCTCGAATTAACGTCGTTTAAAATGGTGCACTGCCACTAACGGTGCATGCGAAATGTACGAATGGGAAACGACTGGATGCACGGCATGAGTTGCAACAACCGAATGATGTATGATTGGCGCTGAAACTAATGGCGCCGAAACAATTGGAGCCGAATGGATAATCGGTGCTGAATGGATAATCGGTGCTGAATGATGTACAACAACTGGACTATGATAAACATACGGTGATGTGTATGAAAAAATGCCACGTTTTTCCTTCACCGAGCCCTCTGCGTTTGTGGTGGCTGATTTTTGGTCGGTCAATTTTTCAGCGGCATCACCACATATCGCCGCTGATACGAATATCGCGAACACCACAATTCCACACTGCGTAAGAAAAAAAAAGCACATTTGTTTTTCATTCAAAAATATAAAATAAATTTGACAAAGTATTCGTTTTCTTTGTATTCCACAAAATTCTGAGCACTTACAAAAAGTTTCATGTTTAAATTGATTTTGATTGATTTTTGACACTAAATTGCCTGATCTGTAATCCAATGCGGCTTAGAAACTAATAATCTACAGAATGCTTGCGGCCACTCTTTATATACAGACGGCGAATTGCATTGGTGACGAGAGAGTGAGAGAAAAGAATGTGTACCTTTCGGAAGGTGAATTTTGTTGCGTTGCATATCTTGATTTAGCTAGTTTTTAAATAAATAATTTATTTGTTTACGAAATTGCAGTAAAAATGCGTCAATGCGTTCGCATTATTTGTGTAGCGTGCATTTTTACGTAAATATTGTCATTCAAACGGGCACATATGCGTTCTACTATGGCAAATGCATAGTCTAGTCTGCATTCAACACGGTCGCGAATACAAGTTTATGTTGCATTTAACCATTTATGGCATTACAATCACACAGACTTTGAACCAAAATCAAATTGATTCAAAGCATTATTTGTGACACACATTCAAAGTCACACAAATTGATCGGCTATGATTTTAAGATCAGAGTTTTTTTTGTTCTGTCTAATTATGCCCATAGACTGCTGGTGCAGCAAAAAAAAGTGCAATACCACACACTGCCGTAAAATAAACTTCCAAATTATAAACGTGTGACAAAACACTATCCAAATTAACTTCACATGTAACTGTGTATTAATTTGCTGTGTCTCAATCAATACCGCCTTCCGATATTGCAATTTGAACCAATTTTAGGCATATTCTCGGTTTTTTTTTTCTCTTGCAGTCGATCGAAAAGTCTAGCCAACCGGCACAATGTACGATTTATAGCGTTATTATTATGGAAAAACATCTAAACGACAGTCGATTTATGCAGTGGTTGAAATCGACTTAATTATTTAAAAACCATTGGTATTACGCATTTTAAAACATATTTGAAAAAGCATATTTTTCCTATCGGAATTGTAATAAATAAATTAGCGGTTCACATTTGTTTTTGTTGAACAACCAATATTTATGAATTACGCGATACAGTGATTTAGATGATAGAATTACATAGGTCTTTGCGGTGCGTAACCAGTTTATGTCAATAATTGTTGTCGAACCGCTAATACGTTAATGACAATACAAAACATGTGATTATTATTTGCATTTCGATAGAGATAGTTTTTTTTCTTGTTTTTTTTTTTATTATTTAAAAGAGATTTGGCTAATTGAATTGGCCACTTTTATGTGATTTTTTGTGTTCGCTTAAAGTACATAATTTGCATGCCACCAAATTTACTCATATTTTTGTTGTTTGTTGCAAAGTACGAATGTGGGGTTGGTTCTTGATCATAAAATCCAAGGTTTGTGACTTGCAAATATGCACATATATAAAGTTTTTTTTCATCTATCCTTAAACGTTCAGAAGCTCTAGAATGTCTCAACAAATCAGGTGATTAAAATCGATGTCAAAATCATGCACTACACGCTTTGAATATTTTCAATCGATAAATCAACTCTGTTCACCTTATCGAGGTACATGTTTGTTTGTACATTCATGAAGATTCGACATTGGCCCATTTTCAATGCTGTGCGTAACATTCTTGAATAAGTGCACACATTTAGAATACTTTTTCAGTCGAATGTAGCGAAAAAAACTGTCCCCACCTACGAATGGAACGAAAGAGAGCGAGAGATGGAGATAGCAACGTATTGTGTAATTATGCTCTTTATACTATAAAAGAGTGCAAATCGGAAAATTGGATAATTGATTGTCGCACAGTAATTTAGTTTATTCACAAATTGACATGTTTCAAATGGTCTTTTTTATCGTTTCGTTCATTGAAAACATCCTGTATTTATCACATAAAATACAATATCAATGAATTTTTAAAGTGCAAAAATATTAACGTCGTTTGTGATTTGAGAATACAGGTCATCATATATTTTTTTTAGATTGAAGCCTAAACGAGACAATAGGTATATTTTATTCAAAAGAATTGTACCATTAATAAAACAAACGAACTTTTAAACGCTGTCATATGGTTGAATAACATAGTTTTCGATTTTATTCAATGAAATTCCTTCTCTACTTTCGTCCAATTATCACAATACCGGCCTCGGGTGGCAAAACCACTTTTTTTGTATCGACATAATCCCTGAAATCATATAAAGTGCAATATTAATGGATATTGTCATTTAAAAAAAATTAATTTCGGTTACCCTATAACAAGTATTTCCGAATGAATTGACGCGACAATAACTTTCATTTGTTGCGGCAATTCTTTGAAATGGGAATTCAATTGAATGGGTCTGTATGAGATGCCCAAGTTCAACAAAACAACAATAATATCGGCATCATCTTGACCATAAATTTCTCGTTTGTATACGAGAACGTCGTCGTTGACCGCAATTATTTTCACATCGCCATATTTCATTGTGGGGTTTTGTCGTAGTGCCATCAATTGACGAAACACTTTCAAATGACTAAGAATTTTCGACTTTTGCAATTGAACATTATTTTTAGTGTGATTGCTTGCAACTGGTAACCAAGTGCTGTTTCCAAATGAAAAACCAGAATTGATGTCATCGGACCATTGCATGGGCGTTCGTGCCGGATCACGTGAAAATTGATCAAATATTTTAGGGTTTGTACGACATGCTTGCGGATCCACTGTGTCTTCCCATGAAATATATACGTCGGTCATTCCAATTTCCTCTCCCATATACGTTATCGTTATGCCGGGCAATGTTTTTAGCAAAATATTGAAAAGATCGGTGCGGGCTGGTCGATATCTTGATGCTGTTCGTTTATTGTCGTGATTTCCTAAGACCCAATTGGCAAATATGTGCTTTCCTTTCGGCATGCCATCAAGCCATTCTTCGATGTGCGATTTAAATTCATATGCCGTCGTGTTCTTATTGGTTTTGCTAATTAACTCAAAATTAAATGGAATTTGTGCACCGTACTTAGTAATTGTTCCATTTTCAACTTTTCCATAAAATTTCAATGTATTTGGCAAAGTGGTATATGCTTCAGACATTAAAATGCTGGAAAATTAAAGATTTTTATCATTTCTTCTCAAATCAAACTTTTTTTTTTCTTCTATTACCGTGTTTCTTTTGCAAATTCATCTTCTTCGGCCACTTTACGGAATTGATATACCATGTAAAATGTTTCATCCAAATCCATTGTTTTTGTGTGGTTAAGTCGACAATATGCTTCTAGATCGTCACTACATTCACCGCTTAACGGTTCATCGTCATAATAACCTTTGGCATTTTGTGGAGCTTCGAATAAAAATGGGACCGCATCGCACCTAAAACCGGCGACGCCTTTTCGCAACCAAAATCGCATAGTCTCTTTCATCTCATTGACGAGTGCTTCGTTGCGATAGTTCAGATCAGGTTGTTGTTCTAAAAATTGATGTAAATAGAATGCCTTTCGACTCTCGACCCATGTCCATGCACTTCGTCGAAATAAACTTAACCAATTGCTCGGCGGCACCCTTGTTCCATTTTCGAGTAATTTTCCTTCATGCCAAACATAATAGTCTTTGTATTTTTCATGCTCGGGATCATTTGGATTCGACGATTTTTCGAACCATACATGCTTATCCGAACTGTGATTCGGCACAAAATCCAAAATTAATTTAATATCCAATTCTTTGCAGCGTTCAATCAAACGATCAAAATCGTCCATCGTTCCATATTCCGAATGAATTTGTCGAAAATTCGAAATATCATATCCGAAATCTTTCATGGGACTTTGGAAAATTGGTGACAGCCAAACTCCGGTTACTCCAATATATTTTAAATATGGTAATCGAACGGTTATTCCGCGTAAATCACCAATGCCGTCACCGTCACTGTCCTGAAATGAACGCGGATAGATTTGATAGAAATGGGAACTATATTCCCACCAGTCATCGTCTGACGCAAAAACTTTACTCGCAGTAATACATGCCGCCACTACCAGCACGAAATTTAACATTGAAATTTTCACCATTCTGATTTATCTGCAATTAATAAGGAATTTTTTTTTTTTTTTGAAAACTATCCTCAAGCCCAAAGTCAAAGTGAATTTTCAATGTGCACAAAGTGACAACGAATGACAGTGTCAAAAGACACATCCACTATTTATTGGAAGTGCAACGAGCTCTTTGTGAATCCTATAATGTGTGATTATAATGAATCAATTTTGCGGAGAACCTATTGTGTTGAGAACGATCATAAAAAATTAATGAAAAGATAAGACGGGTTAGATAGCGAACGCGACAAAAGAACGAATTCCGCCTATTTACATACTACTGGAAATATTGTACTTGAATCAGTGATTTTGTCATGTTTTTGATTCATTAAAATGATAAAATGACCGTCGGACCGTTTCAAATGGAAAAATATATCTTGATATTAATTGAATTTTTAAATCTCTGTTTACACTCGTGAATTCTACACATCGCAATACTGATTGATAAATTGCGAAAAACAAATCACCGAATGAAGATTTCGTATACATGTGCAACACACAGCATGCATTCGATTGGATTGCGTCAAATGAAGTTCTTTTTTTAAGTTTTTCAATCGAAACGATCACACAATTCATGTTCTCAATTGAAAACAATTTTCTGTTACAATTTCAAATGGAATTTATTGAATGTTTGCTATTTTGTAAGATGAAGTGCAGTTTGTACATGCCCTGCAGCTATTAGAAATATTATGGAATGTCTATTTAGAAGAACAATTTGAAAAATACTCTTCTCGTGTATATGCGACTCGATGGATCCAACGACATTAATATTTTATTCACAACAACGGTCAACCAGCTTATTACATGTTTGCCATATATTCGCAATTTCGTTTCACCGCATGAAAAAACAGATAATTACACTACTTTTTTTTATTTGACGTTTTATGAATCATAAAGTGGAACTCTCCATCAACTCATACTGTCCGAGATTTTTTGAACGTGATAATTAATTTACAACTTTTATTTGGAACAGAGTGAATTAAAAAAAATCAATAATGGGCCATTTGACACGTTGATAAATTCACACACGTGGTGACTACGTTTTTAGCAGGAAATCCGAATTGAATTTTTAATAATAATAAACGATTGAAAACATTCATTGCTGACCTGATGTCACTTTTGGCATATAGGTAATTATATGTATGAGTTGATTTCAATCGGAATATTAGAAATAACAATGCGTTACGCTTGAATTCCGAGTCAACGACAAATAACATCTAAAATCACATAATCATTATCAAATGCAAAGAAAACAAATTTTACTCTTTTTTTCACTATTTTAGAAATAAATGCTTTGCTTTGCAAAATATATAGTTACAGACATTGAAAACTATATTCATTAACATAACATTCAATCAAGGTCGAACGGTGCATTGAATCATATCATGGTTAGTAGTATATGAGCATATATGACGAATATTAATTTAAATTGCCTATTGTTAATACGTTTGTTGACCATTGTTTGGATTTTTCTCGGAAAAGTTTTACAAACACTTTGATTTGAATAACAAAATTCAAAACGCATTTTGATTATTTCAGTGTGAAATTTTCAAATCATCAAAACGGTCTCCAGAGAGACTCTCCGCCACATCGAAAATAATTTTACATTGAAGAACATACAGCGGTTTTATCGATCTGAATTTATGATGGTGTTCTGTCGTTTAATCCAAAATAGTTCGCAATCGATACGAGGTTACGGTATTATGGTTCGATTGACGTGGACAAAATGCACAAGTGCGATGTGGACTTTTTATCGCATTTTATCGTTTGAAAAATTCTCAATGATAAATGATGTCAACAAGGAGAAGGTAAGAAAATCAAACTAATGACAAATGTAAAAGGAAAGAAAAACAAAAAAAAAGGAAAATTTGTATTAATAATGTCTCTTTATTCGTCGTTTGACCCAACAAAAATCTTTTGCATTTTCAAAGAAGTCAAATTATTACTTTTTCAACTTCAGAACATTTTTTTTTTGCAAATGCCATCAATTGCGTCCAAAGAGTACGACCCCAACTTCAGGCGGCAACACGACTTCTTTGCTGCTGATAACATCACTGCAAAATAAGAAGCGATTAATTTCTAATTGTTGTATGATATGAAAAAAGGTGACCTTACCCTTCAGTTGGTCGACTTGATTGTATGGAAGCAACAAGAACACTCAATTGCGATGGAACTCCATCTAAATTGATATTTAAATCAATAACTTTGTCTGTCTTGCCTAGATTCAAAGCAACGATGAAAATGTCATCGTTCGATTGTTCTTGTTCTCGTTTATACACAAGAACATCGTCATCAACGGCACTAATTTGTAATCCACCATACTTGAATGTTGGATGTTGACGCAATTTCATCAATTTACGCATAACCGATAAATGGCTTTTTTCTAGAGACTCTTGCAATTTAACGTTGCAGTCCGTAAAATTTTTGGCAACTGGAAGCCATGTTGAAGCCGCCTCGCTGAAACCAGCATTCTTCGAACCGTCCCATTGCATGGGCGTTCGTGCCGGATCACGTGAATATTGATCGAATACCTGTGGATCCGTACGACATGCTTGTGGATCTTGAGTGTCTTCCCATGAAATAAATACGTCTGTCATTCCGATCTCTTCGCCCTGGTACATTTATGGCATTGATTAATTAAAATTCGTTTTTATTGAAGTATTTTCTTTACTTACGTAATATGTGACAGTGAGTCCTGGCAATGTTTTCAACAAGATGTTGATGAGATCAGTTCGAGATGGATTGTATCTCGATGCCGTTCGTTTATTATCGTGATTTCCCAAGAGCCAGTTCGCTGATTTGTATTTATAATATTTGTAAATTCTCTAAATATATCAATTCGGCAGTCAAAAGATTTCAAAGAACTCACCATGAATCTTTTCCGCTTTTGGCATGCCATTGAGCCATGCTTCAATTTTCTCCTTATACACGTCAGCTTTTGTATCTCGATTGGTTCTTGAAATTAAGTCAAAGTTGAATGGCACGTGAGAACCGTATTCAACGATTTTCCCACTTTCATCGACACGTCCGTAGTATCTCAAGTTATTTTCAAAAGATGTATAGGCTTCGGTCATTAACATTCTGAGAATTTAAAAGTAGATTTGTGAAATTTAAATTTTTCATATCGGCTCATTTGAAGTTACCGCGGAAAATTCGAAAACTCTGGCTCGTCGACGACTCTACGCCATTGGTAAATCATATCAAAGGTCTCATCTAAATCTTGCGTTTTTGTGTGATTCAAATAACACGAAGCCTAAGAACAGAAAATAGTTTTTTTTACTCAAAAGTATTCTCTTTAAGAATTTTTTTTTCTCACCTCTGGATCATTTTCACATTCTCCGCTTAAATCTTCATCATCAAACAGTCCATCCGCATTTTCCTTAACTTCAAATAAAAATGGAACGGCGTCGCATCTGTAACCAGAAACACCCTTTCTCAACCAGTATCGTAAAATTTCTTTCATTTCATTGACGAGTGCTTCGTTCCGATAGTTCAAGTCCGGTTGTTCGGCCAAGAATTGATGCAAATAGTATGCCTTTCGGCTTTCGACCCATGTCCATGCACTTCCACGGAAAATACTGATCCAATTACTCGGTGGAACTCTTGTACCATTCTCCAATAATTTTCCTTCATTCCACACATAATAATCCTTGTATTTATTATGGTCTGGATTATTTGGGTCGGCTGATGCCTTGAACCATTTGTGTTTATCGGAACTGTGATTTGGCACAAAATCAAGAAGTATTTTGATATCTAATTCGTTAGCGTGCGCAAGTAATTTTTCAAAATCCTCCATCGTTCCGAATATTGGATCAATTTGTGTGAAATCTTCGATATCATAACCAAAGTCTTTCATCGGACTTTTGAAAATTGGTGAAAGCCAAACGCCAGTGACGCCGATACTTTTTAAAAATGGTAATTTACTTGAAATTCCCGATAAGTCGCCCACTCCATCATCATTACTGTCTTTAAAACTGCGAGGATAGATTTGATAAAAGTGGCCCTGTATAAAATAGAATAATTCTGTGTTAGCGATTGAATTCTTGATTAAATGCATAATTAAACATAATTTATAACTGACTGAGAAGGACAAAGATCCAATGAATTAACACGAAAATGTTGTTATCAATATAAGTCAATTTTTATAACTCAAAATAATGTTATACCTGTTCCCACCACTCATCAGCGGCAGCTTTGCCCGTGATTGAGCATATTGCCAATGCGAAAATTAGCTTGAGCAAGAGTTTCCCCATACTTATGCTAATTTTCAAATATCACTTTTTCACCGGAATTTCTTTTGGACGTTTGGAAGTGTATAACCACGAAGTTGCGAAGACGACTGAATAATTGAATTCGCGCGCTCCACTATTTATATTAAATGACAACGATACTTCAGTAAAAAAAATAATTACACAATTTAAACTTATTTACTGTGATAACACTTCAGATAATAAATATGATAAACGGTTTTATTTACATACGCCGGTAGCTGTGTTAGTCGTCATATTGAGACAAAAATACACACTCGTTCGTACATTTATGCAAATCTGCACTCAAACTGATAGCCAACAATCACATAAATAGAACGTCGTGGAATACGTGTTACAAAGAATTCGTATATCGAAGGTCAGTTTTTTGGCAGCGATTGACCGAAGCCTAGGCCTTTTATCAGACATTATACTAGTTATTATTCATATGCGACAGTGTAGAACAACCTTTTGAGCTACATTTATTTCATACAAAAAACACACAGAAAGAAAAAATGTGGTATTTTTAATTCACTTTTGGTAGATTTAATATAAAATCAACCAACAACGAATTAAATTTACCATTTTTGACATCTTTGAGGCATATTTTTCAAAAGTGGCTATTTGTTGAATAAGTTTTATCAACTGCTTCATTACATTTACCAACTTTTCGAAAACTTATTCAACTGATAGTCTCTTTTGAAAAATATGCCTCAAAGATGTCAAAAATGGTAAATTTAATTCGTTGAAAAATTGAATTAAAAAAAATCACATTTTTTCTCTCTGTGCAGATGGGCAAATGAGTTATCAGAATATACTTATACGCTTAAAGTTATTAATAAGAAAACTGGCTGACCAATGATCATGGTTCGAGATTTACTATCTAAGGCTGAAAGAAGCATGTTAGATCCATCACCTCTGATTTTAATTCTTGGGTCCAAAATTGGTTAAAGAGATCGAATCATTTTTTAGGCGAACAAAATCATTTCAGTCTGATGACCAAAATCAAGGTCCAATGCGTCAAAGAATTAGATTCCAATCAGTAGAATGAATCAACAACAAAAGCAATTTAATTGGCAAAATGACACGCTATCATTACTATTTATCTAATAACTTATTTCATTTGTGTAATTCTTTGTTCATCGAGTAGTAAAAATAGTTTACAAAAGCGGTAGTCATGAACAGTTGAACACTTCGTGAGAATAGAGCTCGTTTTTTTATTGAGAATTAAATTTTAATTTTTTTACCACTTGAAATAGAATTTACTCGAGAGAACATTTATAACTATAAAAAATATATCAGTCAATATTTGCAATGGAATTTTCAAGATTGACGCTATCAATAATTGAAATAACAATGAAGGTCGTAGAATGAACAATCTATTTAATTAATAAGAATTCAATGCATTTTCAAGTAGTTGACAACAACTTGACATCGAGTGTATGGTAAAAGAATTGAAGAATGAAATGTGCATTAGGCTTGCCAATGCCTTTCTTTTTTAATTTGACATTTTTGTGGATTTTCACTTCGAAAACTCAAACTAAGGATGCATACACATTGAAGGAACTCACATTATATTCAAATTATAGTTACATTGCTACTGAAATATTTTTTTTTTTTAAATATAATATGTGGTGTCTGCATCTATAATTTGAGTTTATACAGTGAAAACCCACACAAATTTCAAATTATGGCATTAGCAAAAAAATCCGACAGATAAACAAAATTGTACAAGCTCAATTTGCAGTAGAACTGTGAAACTATTTTCAGTCATAATATTTTTCGTTGGATATTTTTAGGTAACTCGTTTATAGCAGTGGGCAACACTGTATTGCATTTAAACCTGTATATTTGATGTCAGAAAATTTGCAATACATACGGATACATAGAATCGGAGTCAGTGTTCTGCTGTATATTGGTATATTAGTTCGTTTGAGCCGTATAAATTCAATGATGTTACCGACTGGTTTATGGTATCTTACTCGAATACAATAAAAAGAAAATATTTAGATTGGTTGATAATTTTATTTATTGATTTTCAATATATTGGTTAGAGGCAACAAAAAGTCTTTCAACCAAAAACAGTTTTTCCCGATGAGAATGACGCCGACATCAGGCGATACGCTGACGTTATTTGTTGATAAAGTAATACTGCAGGTGTGTGCCAAAACCCGAATATTAATACATTTTTATTATGATGATATTTTATTAAGATGCTATTAACTATTAAGATCGATCATAATACGGGTTCGTATCATGCTACCGAAGTTAATACGCGCCATTTTCCATCCATGAAATCTGTACAAATAAACATTCCGTCTGTTAAAGCTCAAGTACTTTGTAGCGATAAAATGACTTTTTCAGTCCAAAGTATGATTTTGGTCCAAAATAATACACTGAAAATTTTCGGCTATTAATGGCTACGGAAGGCCATATCAAAAATAAATTGCGGTACAATTAAGTACATTTTTGGTACAATTATTTAAACCTAGTCCCAAGTTTAGACTTTCACATGTGCGGACATTCGACTATACATCCAACTTCAGGCACTTCAAAGCATCCGAAAATCCGAATTGTTCGAATACTGTTTTGATATAGCCAGACGTTACTTGCATCAATATAATGAAAATGACACAAACATCACCAACACATCGTGAGATCCAAATAAATGCATTTAAATTACACGCATCCAACGATGCCTTAATTGCCTTATTCTTATAATTCTTGGCACTTTTTTGCCAAATGAAATCCTTTTATTATTTAAATTCTGTGAATATACAAATGAACAAAATGATAGTAATAAATTTAACGACAATAAAACGCCATGATTTCCAACGCACTTAACGCTTTCGACCAATAAGTACAACACCGACTTCCGACGACAAGAAGAGTTTTTGCGTTTCAATTGAATTGCTGTGAAAAATATTCGTTTGTTACTTTCTGTATGGCTAACAAAGTGTAAAATAGAATATTTTTGAATACCAACCCAGGTTTGATAGTTTTCGAATGAATCGACACTATAGACACTCTCATGTTCTTCGGTAAATTGCTGAAATGAGCCTTCAAATCGACTGTTTTATTCGACGTACCTAAATTCAAGACCATCACGATAATATCTGCCTTTGGGTCACCTTCGATTTCCCTCTTATACGCCAGTACTTCTTCATCGATTGCAGCGAGTTGCAATGTTCCATATTTAATTGTTGGATTCTCTCGCAATGTTATTAATCTTCGGAAATTTTTCAAGAAGCTTTGAGGTTGTGACTTTTCCAATTTCACATTACATTCCGTAAAATTTTCAGCAACTGGAAGCCACGTCGTTTCGGCATCGCTAAATCCAGCATTTTTTGTGTTGTCCCATTGCATTGGTGTACGTGATTGTTCTCGTTCATCCTCTGATGATATTTTATCATTCGATGTCATTCCAATTTCTTCTCCCTTTAAGAATCAAAACATTGAAGAAATGAATTTGCCGACAATATGCGCTCTTCTTATAGTTACATACGTAATAGGTGACTGTAATTCCAGGCAAAGTCTTCAGTAGAATATTGAAAATATCAGTTCTGGTTGGCTTATAATCCGTTGCAATTCGTTTTTTATCATGATTTCCCAACTGAAATATTGGACATATTTTGAAATGGGTTTCTATTTCGAAGGCAGACTGTAATCATTGTACTTACGACCCAATTTGCGTGAATTCCATTTCCTTTGGGTAAATTAAGAATCCAACTATTGATACTGTTAATGTAGTCTTGCGATCCACTTCCCATCTTGGTATTCTGCATCAATTGGAAATTAAATGGAATTTGTGCACCGTACTTAGTAATTGTTCCATTTTCAACTTTTCCATAGTATTTCAAAGCGTTACACAGCGGCGAGTATGCTTCAGCCATTAAAACTCTGTAATTCAAATGAAAAAGTTTAAATTATTGAGTGTTGAGATAAAAACCCCTAGATTTTTGGCTTGGTTCTGCAAAGGTTTTGGAAAAAAAAACAACTACAAGTTTTGCAATTCCGATTTGAATAGAAACTTTTGAACGAGAGTCAAGCGCAATAAGGGCACACTATATAAACGCCATATATTAATAACCGACTAACTACAATGTAAATCAAACGTATCTGTTTCCCCTTTTTATTTACTCCCTTCTCCTCTCGATAGCGCTCGACTCTCGCTTTTGAAATTGGACCGAATGGTAATAAACGATGAAAATAAGCAAAAGTTACTAGAAAAATTACAAATTAAAGTAAAACTGTTACTGTATTAAAGTTTCATGGATTTTCGTGCCAAATTGGCTGCTAGTTAATATATTATTTGGAAGAGAGTGACAAATTGTAAATATTTATCGATTAGAAATGTTTTATGAGCGGAAATATGGTTTCCATATAATTGACCAAAAATGTCTGATTTAAAGAACAGTGTTTAGTAAAGATACTTCTCGTTTAAAAAAGATAAATTGAGTATAAAAACGAAGTTCAATTTTAAATCAATTACCGAGTAGGATTTGAAAATTCCGGTTCGTCCAAAACTGCTCGGAATTCATAAACCAGATCAAAAGTTTCGTCCAGATCGTAGGTGTTTGTGTGGTTTAAAGAACAATATTCGTCAGGTTCACAACTTCCGCCGCTTAACGGTTCGTCATCGTACACGCCATCTGCATTTTCTTTCGATTCGAAGAAATGTGGTACAGCATCAACTCTATAACCACCTACCTATTATTCGAATTGTATTCTATTCAATGATCATTATTGAATTATTTATCAAAAACTTACTCCCTTTCGCATCCAAAATCGCAAAATTTCCTTCATTTCTTCAACGACTGCATCATTTCTAAAGTTAAGGTCCGGTTGTTCTGCGTAGAATTGATGATAATAGTATGCTTTTCTGGTTTCCACCCATGTCCAAGCACTTCCACGAAATACACTGACCCAATTACTTGGCGGCACTCTTGTTCCATTTTCTAACAATTTTCCTTCATTCCAAACATAGAAATCTTTGTATTTTTCATATTCGGGGTCACTCGGGTTGCAAGATTTTTTAAACCATTCGTGTTGGTCGGAGCTGTGATTCGGCACAAAATCCAAAATTAATTTGATATCTAATTCTTTGCAGCGTTCAACCAAACGCTCAAAATCTTCCATTGTTCCGTATTCCGACTGAATTTGGCGAAAATCCGATATATCGTAACCGAAATCTTTCAAAGGGCTTTTAAATATTGGAGAAAGCCAAACACCCGATACACCAACGTATTGAAGGTGAGACAAACGAGATGTAATGCCATTCAAATCACCGACACCATCGCCGTCGCTGTCTTGAAAACTTCGCGGATAGATTTGATAAAAGTGTCCATATTCGTACCAATCGTCGGCTGCAAATAGTTCGCCGGTGATTGAACATAGCACAAGAGCAAGAATCGGCATATTTATACTTGTCATTTTTGTAAATTAAATTAGATATTTTGTTATTTTACTTCAAATATCACACGAAAATTGAACACTAAATTAAATCAACGTACATTTACTGTTTTTATAGTAGTTTTTAAACATCCTTGAACAAGAAGATAAGATTAGAGATAAAAAAATAAAACAGTTTAATTGATATTTGGTTTAGAACAATTTGCAAATATATATTTATCACAATCTGAGACATGCTTTTTAATATAAATTTTTCAAAAAAGAAGGTTTGTCATTTCAATCGACTCACTTGCAGTTTAAATCTTGGTTTTAATCACTTAATTTCGTTTTTTCAACTAATTGTAGATAAAATGAAAAAAAAAATCGTCTTCAAAATAAAATTCACACAGAGAAAATTTACACGAATACACTTACAGGATCTGTATAATTTTTGACATTTTACGTATTCTGTATAATCAACAGAGATATTGTACACTGTCTGTATAATTCGCTATTGATTTATATGTCAGCGCATCTAAAATGTTGCCAGATGAGTTGACAGATGAATCGATTGCGAATTATACAGACAGTGTACAATATCTCTGTTGATTATACAGAATACGTAAAATGTCAAAAATTATACAGAACCTGTAAGTGTATTCGTGTAAATTTTCTCTCTGTGTTACGTCAATGAAAAAACATACCCTTGACTTTGATAATGTTCTCGGAAAATAACACACATGATTACTTTTTAAAGTGAATGATTCAAGTACAATTTTAATTTTTTACACATTTCAAGGCCAAGCTTCCATCACCATAGTTGGTAGATACTCACCTGTCATATTGTATGAAATATAATGTCATAAATCTGATCAAATATTGTATTGATTAGTTTGGAGGTGTGGTTTTGATTTCTTCTATGGATTGGACTGAATTTAGTTTTTCGATTTAATTCGACCTGATGTTAGATTGCGCGGATTATCGAGACTCGTACAAAAATTCCTCCAATCTCATACATGTCGCATCTACTTGACCACGCATCTACTAGAATAAATAAAGTGAACTTAAAATCAACTGATTATAGCTTATTGTCATTATCATTTCTTTCTAAAGGGGCCGAGTTGTTTGCACGTGGAGGTTCGGATAATTTCCTTTTAAAAGCTGCTAGTATTCAGGTGTGTAGCACTTAAACAATTATATGGACTATTTGTGGGTACTTCTCTGGTGCCAATAACATCTCTGAAAGGAGGTCACAAAAATCAATCCATAGATATGACTATGTTTTGCATTTTTTATCTAGAACAACCGCAACAATTTATATTTACTACAGAACTAAATCGATAATATCGATTAGATCAATGTGTTTTTATATGTAAAGAAGTATATATTTTATATTAAAAACTTTGTTGGCTTGTAAGCACTATAGAAAAGGGCCGTATATCTCTATTAGTAAACAGACTATTACTGATGATCGAAAAAAGGTTTAAAAAATCAACGCAAATTATGTCCTGTGCATAATTTAACGAATAAAATACGGGGGATGGGTCATTGTACGAATGTGCAATTCCATTCGAAATCCGAACAATTTTAATTCTGAATACTTATGAAAGATTCATTGATGACAATTTAATTGAAGTGAATGCATAAAACGAAATTTATAGGTGAGCTTATACAAATATGAAAACATTTACGAGGAAATTACTATTTTTGCATTTCACCACAGATCATTTGCAATCATTACACAATGACAAAAGGTAACGGCATTACTCGAGAATTATTATTTAATGAATATTCCAGTTGAAATTGAAGTGGCCAATTAGATTTATAGCGGCAATAAAATTCAAGCAATGCACATGATTGAAATTTTTATCTTTGTTATCGATTCAATATTAATTATCAGTTATTATGGCATTTTTTATCAAGCACTTAATTGATTAATTTCTAAATGAGTATGATTGCTGGTTCCTGACCTACGCAATAAATGTTTTGATTTACAATGTGTAACTTTACACAAAACGAAAGGAAAAAAAGGATTGAGGTGATGAAACAAAGTAAAGTGGCTATGTCATGGCGTTATCGACAACAAGTTATAAATCAATCTATAAAAATCAGAGACTTTTTTGTCATTTTTTCTACTTCAAGCATTTATACCGTTCAAAAGATATAATTTGAATTTAAACAGATGTCTTTTGTCAAAATTCCAGCATCCGTTTGGAAAACCATGGAAAGCGATACAGTCAAGAGAAATTCACTCGATCAAAACAATGGAAAAGCCGGCTGTAAAATGTGCAAATTCCACTGCGAACAAATAAATCAATGCTCACTGTACCAAAATCAAAGCTCAACCAAGAGATGACGCTTTGCGGATACTGCGCAATCTCAATTTCAACACTTGATGACACTTGGTACACAGTCTTTCAAGATGTCTCAATCGATTTTTCCGCAGAGCAGCAGAAAAACGTATCCAAAGTGCTACAGCAAAGCTGACTTCAGCTTTTAGTGTATACAATTATATTATTATTTTTATTTAAAAATGCATGTAAATAGTGTGTGGTGATTGGTCCGAAAGTTGTGGTAACGTTTATTATTGATGATTAGAATTACTTGACATAGACATTGAGATTTTTCTTTATTTTAAATCGAATAAAGTGTTGAATTGTAGGAATAAGAAAACAACGGTGCTATCACTGCATTGCAGTGTTGCCTAGCCCACTTAATTTTTTCATCGACAATTTTAGCTTTTTTTAAATCTTCAACCCATAAAATTGTTAAGAAAGCACACTAAATCAGATTTTGATGAGTTATTTAATCGACAATTTACCCGAATAATTGAAAATACAGAAAAAATCGGTGATTTTGCATTGGGGTGTAGCAAGCTCATTCGCTTGAAAGTTTTCTTCGTTAATACCATTTATGGGCCAAGAATTGAGCAAAATCAATGCAAAAGATAAAATGATGTGCCAAAAGGTCATAATTACATTCATTATTGAGGGAAAATCGCAGAATTTGTTTTAAATGCATCTAAATTGTGAATTAATAATCTACGATAAATGCGAAAAAAGAAGAAGAAGAAGTCAGAAAAGGAAAAAAATAAATATGGAGCATCCCATAATTGACAGTGACAGATGAACATTTTTGTGTCACCTTCGTCTGGAAAGTTGAAGTTTAAGAACTTTTCTCTGGAACGATTTCGTGGAAAATGAGATGTGTCAAAACCATCCCCTCTGCTGCGGCAAAGCACGTGTTGGATGCTGTTTATTGACAAACATTTACATGTGCACACTAAATCTAGCATATTCTCCATCCACAATGGTTGTTTACTAACATTCACCAAGAGACATGCGCATTGTGTAGAAATCACTATTTGTAAACAGAAAACATATTTTCGTTATAAACAGAAAAACACGTCAATGAACGCTGTATAACAAACTTTTTTTTTTAATTCGCTAACGCCTGAAGCTATACTATAAAGTACTATAAAGTACGCATATTGTGAATAGGTACAGTTCAATGTGTTGATTTCATTGCAGTGAAACGATGAACGATGAGTGTCTCAAATCAAGAAGAAAAAAGCGACAGCATCGACGATGGATTGCAAGATTTGGGAATACCAGTGCCGTTACAAACATACTTATGGGGTCAAATAGCACCATTTATTCGTCCAAAATTAGGAAAATTACACGAAGCCGCATGCATGGTAATTTATTTATTAATTCCCATTCCATCCGATTACTGACCGCATTTCTCTTTTCGATTGATAATAGTTTTGCCAACACGCGCCCGGCCACTACGAACTCAAAGAAGCGTGTAAATCAATTGAAAAAGTTTTAGTGCAAAATATCCATTTTGGTCTATCGGTACCGTTGCAACAAGCACTTGAATCGGTTGACCGATGGCGAGTAGTACAAGCAGCACTGCCACACGTGATGCATTGCGCTGCTGCTTTACTCCATAATCGGTATGTATTACACACTCTTTTTATTTCAATATCGGTATTTTTTAATCTTTTTTTTTGGATTTACAGCGTCAAAGATTTGCAAATGCTTGGTCCGGCCGAAACAAAATTGTTGTATACATTGCATTGGATATTGTTGTTTGCATCGGCCGAATGTGCTGATGAGGAGGTCGATGCAAAAAATGAAGCTCGCTCACATCTATTTTCAATTCCGACCATTTCGTTATTTGTTTATTTATTTGCACCGATTGTGCACCATTTGAAAGAATCGGACTTTCAAAATTATCGCCTAGAAAATGGAATTAAATTATGGCATGGAATGTGGGAATTTTCATCACCACAGGGTGCACCGTGCTTTGGATCGGCTGTTAAACCAAAGGCAAGACAACTTTTAAACAGCCTACTCAGTCCACGTGAATCATTAGATGCCTACTGTCCAAATCGTAAGTGTTATAATGCACATTTTTGAATGGAGTATTTAATATAATGGAGGATTCCTTTTTAGATTCACCAAAAAGTTTGGCAATTTACGAGCTACCAAAACATGAAGAAGAGGTATGTATCTCCCATTGTCCAACTATTGTTACTTTGTTTATTGATTTTTCGACGAATTCGATATACTTGCAGACTGCTTGGGTTTCATCGCCAAAAGATAGCGTTTTTCCCGAAACAATTCCTGAAGAAGCATCAAGCATAGAAGAAGAACGTGTTGTCATTTTTCGCATACCAAATAAGACACAGCCTTCATTTTATACAGTCAGTTAAATGTGCCCTTAATACTGTGTGCTTTTATTTTTCTTTTTTACACTCAATACTCTATTCTTTTTACTTCATAAAACACTTTTAAAATTGTTTTGAAATTTTAATTGAAGGCTGATGCAAGTATGCTCCAACAAAGTCACGATAATATTTTGAAACTGGATGGTGACCGTTTTAATTTTGATAAAATCCAACGATTTGCGGTAATTTTTGTCAAATCAGTGATTATTTCTCAAAGTAATCTAAAAAAGGAGCACTTTGAAGTGGAGGAGAACTGATGAGCAAAGCATTAGAAGTTTAAAAAAATAATTAAAATTAATAATATCATGATTTTTGAGATTTTTTAAACTTTTATTAACATTATCCTCCTCAGTGAGGCGGAGCTTTACTTCTTAGTGCTCCTCCGGCTCTGAGAAACCGTCTCTGGATCAATTTGAAAAAACCCGAATAAGAGCTTGAATTTAATAACTTTTCTGCAATGAATCTCACAGAGAAGTGAAGGTTCTTCAACGGATCAAGATTCGGATGAGGAGAGCAAATCATCACACAAAAATATGAGATTCGACACCGTTGCGGCCACTTTTCTAGATGTTGGCGTTTTACGTTGTTTATTTATATTGCATTGGCAAGAAGAAGGTGTCTATTGGTGCTTACATTATATTTATAATAGGTGAGTTTTCTCCTCCAATAAAGTATATGTTATGCAGATATTTTGATACGATATTCAATTGTAGGCTTCGTAAGATAAGTGAAGAAGTGTCTGTGCCAATTTTACAAACTCGACGACGGTCGAATTCATTGCCTATACCCCAAATTGAAATATCTGTTTACCAAGGAACGAATAGCAATAGTCGTGATAGTCCAAGTGGAAACACGTTAAAAGATTTTATTGAAGTTCCTGAACAAATGGCGCCGAATACATTGAACGACTGCAGTGAAACTACTGATTCAAAAGGTCAACATTTGGAAAAGGTTACCGGAACCATTGAACGGCGTGCAAACAGCGAACGAAAACGAAATGTTAAAATTGCCAGCTTCAAATCGCTCATCGAATCAAAAATATTTTCAAAATCCGAAAAAGAATTGGAACGAATTGGTTTGAGCAAAAAACATGCAAACGATACAACATCATGCATCTCACAAGACGAAACAGATGCGGTATGTTTTCCTTTATAGAAACAAAAAAAAAGTGACTTACCCGTGCTATCTTCAATGATTTTAGGATCAATTATTGGGCAATACATTGCGACATGATAAAAAGATGCTTTCACGATCAGCATCGGTGATATCAACCAAAACTGTAACGAATTTAGTTAAAGGGAAGAGTATGCCAAGTTTGACGTAAGTTTTTTTTTAAATCTCCAATAAAGTGATGATCTTTATTTGAATTTTGTGACTTTTTAGATGCAAATATGTGGAAAATTCCACGGTAATTCGGTGTTCACAATCGTCCGGTCCGCGCACATCATTTTATTCAAAAAATCCTATAATTACGGTGACTGAGCATACGCCGGTTCCATCGCCCGAATATATGCGTCGTCAAGGTTCATACGATTCCCAATTGGAAATAATCAGTCAATCGGGTAGTCAAATTGGATTTCGATCACATATGTTGCGTTCGCACACCGATTCTCATATTGATTACAGCGGTGCCGATGAATCAGAAGCGCCCGGTTCCGCATTTTATATAACACGCGAGGGATCAATCAATTACGAAGTGGTTTTGCTTGCCGTGTACATGGTATTCAAACGAGAATCGAACACTTGTTCATTGCGGGTGTTAGAAACTGGTTTGAATATTACGGAAGTGTTATTGGATCTGGGTGTGGTAAAAACCAGCGAACATGCTCATCATTTGGTTATGGGAATTATAAAGCGAACTTGGCTTCATTTGGGATGCCCACACGGATGTAACGAAGGTATTCGCGGTCCACCGGCCGAATTTTTACGCACACAATGTCAATCGATTTTATCACGAATGTTGCGACAAGAGCCATCCAACACACGACAATATCTACGAAAAATGATCAAAACCACACAATTACATGAACTTGTTGAATTTTTCCATGCATTTGTTGGTTTTTGCGTCGATCCATCTTCACTTCTTTCACCGCTGAGTGAGTTGATCATCGTTTTTTGTACCTTTTTAAGCGAATTTGTTAATTTTTTCGTTCGATTTTCAGGTCACAAGCGACATTCGGCGTTCAAAACTCTAAATCCCGATATAAATAATATGGCAAACAATTATGCAACAAATTTTGGCGGTGGTGCCAATAATGGAACTGAGGCTCAAGTAATTGCGGCTGTTTTCAAATCATTAGTGACACGATGTGTTCAATCGTTTAAAGAATTGAAATGTCAAGACAATATAGCACTTTATTCTGATGTTAGACAATTAATTACGTATATAAAAAATGCACATGGCGGCACATTTCGACGTGTCGCATTAAGCGGCTCGATAGACGTAACGCCAAAACCGCATAAAAAAGCATACGATTTACAAACGACTCGTGTCATCAGGTAGGAGTGATTTAAATAGCTATGTGGTTTCATATTTTTATTGAATATTTTGACGTTTTTCATAGACATATTCAACATAGTGACGCCTCGTCGTATCAACAAGATGATAAATTTCAACGGAAATTATTCTTCAAAAAACGTAGCACCTCTTCAGCGTGTGCGGTACGCTTTAAATCGAAATTTATAGGATCAAAAAGCAGATCAAATTTTTTTTTTTTTTCACAGAGTTTACTCGAAACAGAAGGTCAAGAGGAGCAAGTGTGTGAAAATCAAAGTCCACTTTCGAATGTAACTCGACGAACCATTTCGAATCATCCAACACTCACACCAAAGCACAGTGAACGTGCATTCTTTCCCGATACACATCAAAGATCCGAACGCAATTCAGTTGGTCGCTTAGGTGAAATTGGTTAGCTTAATGCGAAAATCCATTTTCAACCTCTCTAAACAATTTGTTCGTATAATTTTTAGTGCGCTGGTTCCGCGGATCAAAGGATGTAACGGCTGATATGGAGTCTGGTGTTTTTGGATCAAATTTGGCTGCGTCAATTCTCCGTCATGGATCGTTTAAAAGTCGACGTAGCGATGGAATTGGTAGGTCATTACAGCGGGTACGACGACGTGTCGAACGACGTTTGGGTAGAATCGGTTTGGGAAAAGGGAAAAAAGTCGTTGGTGGAGTTGAAGAAGCAACCGGAAGCTGTAAGTCATGAAATCAAATTCACGTATTTGAATTGGTTCAATTAAAAAAAATTGATTTAATCAAACAAACATGTTAAATTCCAGGTTTCAGTCGAAGATCATCGTTTGAGTATGGTGAAGGTTCAAAAGAATCGGAAATTGTGGTGCTGAAAGAGCGTCGATTAATTCCAACAAAACCAGTTTGCGAAGGAATGCAACGATTCAATTTTTTGCTTGAAGTTTGTGTGCCTGGAACTGTTCCAGATCCACAACTAATTGGTGCAATTATGGACTTGGTATGATTTTTAATTAAAAAAAAAAACAAATCAAAAAGAAATCTAACAATTTTTTTTTTTAATTTAGCCAAATGCTCCGATAGTAACACGGGCTGCACTTCTATTGGAATGTGCTCATTATGTGCAGAAAGCGAACAATAACCAGTGGGCATCGTGGATAAAACAGAATTTAACATCATTTCGTCCATCGGGTCCAAATATTAGTTCACGAATTCCATCTGCATCTGGTGTGCGCCGAACACATATTCTACAACGTGCGGCTGGCAAAATGTTTTATCAATGGGGCGAAGTGATTGGCATGCGTCTAGAAGAGATGCTCATAAAAGAGAAACAAAATTACGATAAACTTGATGCCACGCTAAGTGATGCAGACAAACAAAATGAATTGGTTCAACAAGACGAGGAAGAAGATTTCTTGGACGAAGGTATTTCATAGATTTTCATAGAGATCGTCACAGATTTTGTAAATGTTAAATTTCACACATCTTCTTTACAGCATCGGTTAATCCAAATGGGAACAGTTGTCCGCCGGCATTGAGGTTGATTGCATGCCTTGTTTTATATGAAATAACCGCATTTTTACGTGAAACCTATCAAACATTGCCGAAAACATCGAAATTATCAACCAAAGAAAAGCCAGCACCATGGGAGAAAATTTATCGTGAAGCAAACCGTCGCTGGTCGATGGCACTTAGCTCAATGGGCCATTCACAAACGTCCGCACAAAGCCTGCAAAGCATCGCTGGCGGTGATAATGAACGTAAAATCTCATTTGTATTACACGAACCAGACAATGAATCCGAAAATAGTAGCAACACAACGGTTACAATGCAAGGCGAAGAAACGAATAATGCAACACCAGTCGCAAGCAGTATGTTTTTGTATTTTTTTATTTTGAATTCGAACAAGATGTAAATATTAAGAGAATTGTTTCTAGGTATTCAACAAAGACGACCCTTAGCAAATGTAAGACCATTCTTATTGCGACGTGGAACGCAAGCACAAGCTCCGGCTGGCGGCTCATTCAAACGACGTTCGCTGAAATTACGACGCGGAACGAAAGAAAGCAAAGACCTTGAGAGTGATTGTAAGCAATTGACTTTGACATTTTGAGTAATTTATGCTAACACAGTTTTGACACATTTTTTTAGTACGACGAACGGACTCAATTCAATCTCGGCGCAAAGTTTCATCGATATCGGATCGAAGTGATACTTCGGAGCCCGGCATTGCAAGCGGTGGAGAGGAGTCACCGGGAATTTTGAGGTAAGATTTTACGAGGAGTAAATATCATGTTTAATCAAAAAATCTTCCGCTATCTCTAGTGACGAACCACCACCTGAATCACCGTGTGACTCGAATGAAACTGATGAAACGGGAAAAACAATACCCTGGATAAAATCAACACTTAAAATGATGAATTCATTCCATTATTACTGTACGCATCAGAATTATTGTCATCCATTTTGCTATCGTCGTCACATTCGCGCTTCATCAAGACTTATCAAAGCCGTTCGCAAAGTGTACGGTGATCAATTTGGCATCGAAGAGCCACAACAAGAATTTCTACCAGATAGCACCAAACATACAGGGCGTAAAGATCGCCGAAATCGAAAAGTTTCCGATCAGAATAATTCACAAACCTCATTGCGGCATAAGGAGAATCTTGCACAGTAATTTTCAGATTACCTTTTTTTTGGAGAAAGAATTTGAAATAACTTCCTTCCTTACATTGTCTTCAGAAGCAATGAACTTTGAAATTAACATATATTTTCCTGACTTTTCAGTGTCCTGGGTGTAAGCGATAAATCATCGGATAAAAAGCCTGAAGAAAATTCTCTCGTATTGAAATACATAAAAAATCATGTTCGCGAATTGTTCCACATCCCAATGGCAATCATGATAAAAAGTGCAGTTGTTTTGACTGAAGATCTATTTATCGAAGTAATACCAGCTGCATGGGAGCTATTATTGGAAGAAAATCCGGAAATCTCAACATCGGCCGCGGCTCTGTTCATAATTGCGTCGGTAAGAGCGCCAAATTTTGCATCGGAAATAATGCAACGCGCTCTGAAGCACAAAAACCCCGACATTCGTATTCGAGCCATTTTACGTTATCAAGTTTTATGGAAAAGTCGTTTTCAAGTGTGGCCACGAATGGAAGAGGGTGCTCATGTTTCATTCAAAGTACCACCGCCTGGAATCGAATTTACATTACCATCGCCAAAAATTGGAATCGAAAGTTTACCGGTCGTTGATCCACCTTGGTGTCCTCGTTATCAAAACAAAGACATGGAAGTACAGTTGAATCAAGAGCAACACCGTTCATTTGTAACGGCAACAAAAACACGAAAGAAACAACAAACCGAAGCCATTCATTATGCAATTAAACAACAAGAAGATAAACAACGAGCCGAACGTGAAAGTTTTCTTTTGACAACCATTCCAATTACACAACAAGCATCCCATGCGCCTGGTTTGGATCACTCGGGCGAAGATCATAATGAAGTCGAAGATGAAGGTGAAATGGGACGTGTACCGGCTCATTTGCATGCGGCTCACTCATTATTCCCATCGGTGTTGTGCTCGTCGGTCATGCAAATTGTTGCCTGTTTAGACGATGCGGCCGTAAACTCAGAAGGTGTGGCGGTTTATGGCGTTGCCTATCAAGTCATTTGGGTTTGTTTGGTCGAAGATTCAGCACTATTTTTGCGATATGTTTTGGAGCGTTTGACACGCGATCGACAAGATCAAATGTTTAAGCTATTGCGCCATTTAATTCGATTCGTTCCACGTCTACCACAACAAGCAGCATTCGCACTATACAATTACATCATTGGATATGTCATGTTCTACGTTCGATCATCACACGAATCCAGTCAAGAGGTATGAGACTTGTTTTTACAGTTTTATAAAGTTCATTCAAATACTTATAAGTGATATTTTGCTGGGTTTTTAGCTGGTCGGAGCTGCACTTTCAGTTTTATGGATGGTCGTTCACAGTGTTCATGGAATCATGTTCAAAGACTTAAAACAAATTCTACGAAAAGAACAATGCGATGCATCAATTTTATTAACAGCCAACGTTCCATCGGCAAAGAAGATTGTCGTTCACGGACCCGAAGGTAATTAAAAAAAAAATTGCTCATTCCAAGTGATTTTTGTTCACTAATTCATACTGACATTTATAGATGAAGGTGGTATTCCATCTCAGTTTCCCGTTCAAGAAGAGACGCAATTCCTTCAATTGCTGCGTGAATCCTTGGATTTCTTTAGCATTGACGAAAAGTTCCACAGTACACATGTATTGATTGATTACAAAACACGTAAGATTTTTCAAAATTGTGCGTCAAAAATGTCATTTCATTGAAATTTTTCGCTCAATGTTTCAGAGAAAATTTTGAATCCCAACTGGTATGTGCGCGATTTGTATTTCTTCAAACGTTCACAATATCCACAGTTGCGTTTAGTTGAGATGCCATCGCAAGAAGCATTCAATGCACTTCAGACGCAGGAATTAGTAAAGAAATTTGTCGAAATCGGAAAAGTGCATCTCATTTGGGCCATTTTGAAGAACGTGGATATGGTAAGGACTATTTTTCAGTAGAATATTTAATATTCATGGCATTTTTTCAAAGAAATCGTAGAAAAACGTTGTTTAAATACAAATGTTACTAAAACTTCGAAATAAATCATTTTTCATCTTTCAGGTTGTGCAACGCGTTGTATTTTTGCACGAAGAATTAATGAAATTGCCATTCTTTCCGCGAAAAGCGCTCGAGTCCGATTTGGATTTGTATCAAGGCGGAGAGCTGGGAAAAGTAAATTGAAACGTTTTCTCCATTCAAAATAATAGACATTAATTTATTTATTTTCCACAGGAATTATTGGGTTTGGATGTTCTGCATAAGTTTATGTGGGTTCGTTTGATTGCTCGTATGTTTGAAGCGATGTCCGGAAATTTCGCATATTCCGGTGACATTCATTTGTTTTTAAATGTTTTATCTGGTGCTGCAATTCTCCACTCTGAGGACGCGTGCATAATGCGATACGTTATGGCCACATTCATAAATGCTGCCTTTAATTTTAAAAATGTCTTTTCCACAAACGGATACTTTCTCATTATGCCCACTCTATTACAAGTCTATTCGTTTCATCAAACCAACAAACTTGTAACCACGACCATTGAATATGCTGTTAAACAATTCTATTTACTGAATCGTAAACCATTCATCATGCAAATGTTCGGAGCCGTATCGGCGATTTTGGACACAGACGAAGAGGGTGTTTATGGTGACGCGTCGAAAGTACAATCGAGTTGCCTTTTCAATCTTCTTTTGAGCTTGGAAACACCGTCGCCGGATCCATTGAATATTGGTAAGCCTCAGAGACAATACTATTTGACACTCTGTCTTCATTAACAAACGCGCATTCTATTTTTTCCCCCACGAACAGCTGAATTGATAAAAGAGCCAACACCATTAAAAGCAATTGATTTCTGCTATCACGACGAAGACGAAATGGTCACTGTTCTTGATTGCATTACACTCTGTGTTATGGTTGTTTCATATTCTGCCGAAAATACACGTGGATATCAAATGCTTGTAAGATGCCAAAGAAAATTCAGTTAAACGTCACTTTCTATGTAAATTTGTCTCATTTTCAGATAATTTTGGAAGCAATTCTCCCATGTTATATGCAGCAGATTCAATCACCGTCCTATATCCAATCGGAAAGTAAAACTGAACGTGAAATTATTCTTCAATTGGCCGTAGCCGTTCGTACTATGGTTCACAACAGCGAAGGATTGGCAAAGTAAAGAGTTTTTCGTGAGAAACAAACGATTTTCTTTCTGAATGCTTGAATTTTAATCCGTTTTTACAGGAGCTATAATGGACCATACCGAAATAGTCCGGAGCACAAAGGATCGAGCCAGAGAAACTGCAGCAGAGGACCACCGGTATCACCGGGCTTAGACTTTGAAGATGAATCACATTCAAAATATGTCAGCGATGTTGGCAGAAATAAAAACTATGAGACACCCGAAGACTCAGAAGTAAGATCACAAATCCAAATTCAGAAAAAAAAAAACAATCTCACGAAAAATGTTAAAATCTCCTAGGCGATTCGCACGAATTTTCGGCGAGCAAGAGATGTATTGTTGTCAGTTGTTGGAGAATTTATTAGCAGATCATCGACACGCCTAACTGAATTGGCGAAAAAGCAATCGATGACCGATACCAAAAATGTCGAATTACTTGATGTAAAATGCCACATTCGTCTAGCCGATATTGCTCATTCATTGCTGAAAGTGTCGCCATACGATCCGGATACAATGGCTTGCAGAGGTTTACAGAGGTAATGCAATGCAAAATAATATTTAAAGTAAAAAGTGTAAAAGTGCTTCTTATTTTCTTTAGATATATGCTATTCATTTTGCCTCGAGCCGAATGGGCAAATGATGCATTGAAAGCTGCACTGGTACAAATTCTACGGCGTTTGGATAAAGTGTTTTTGAAAATTTCGAAGAAACCATCAATTCGGGTGAGAATTTATTTGACACTTGAAAGAGGTAAAAATGACGTAAAATGTATTTTCTTTGGATTTTCAGCGAAATACGGATTGGGAAGCGGCTGCTGGCCTCTTAAAAGGAATTCATGAGACAATAGTTCGTCATCCGTACGTTTTACACTGGCAACAAATAAAAACCCTATTTAGTACGGTGCAAAATTTGATTGTAAATGAGCCGGGTTCAGCGGCCGAAGGTGTGTCCAGTGGTGCTGGAAATGCAGTTGTAACACAAAATCCTCCACCCTTCTTTTGTTCGACGGTTGTTCGTTTGATTGCATTACAATTGATAAGCCCGGTGCAAGTGCATTCATTGGAGCATGTATGCGGTGGTAACTCGGAATTTGCGACACAAGAGAAAGCTGAAGGATTTTTACTTCATCTGTTGATGCCATTGTGCTTAAAAGTATGCAGCGGTCGTGGTGTGTCCGATGTTGGTTTACTTCGTCAAACTGATATATCATTTTTGGTGGCGGCCACATTGAATGCAATGAGCCCACTTGCCGGTAGGACAGGACAAGTTGGTACGGCAGTTAACAGAACAGTTGGTGATCTAAGAGCTGGTTCATTAACCTTTACAGGTAGCCGAGATGCCAAACGACCAGCACGAATCAGTGGAAGCCTATACCAAGCCGGTTTTCTATGTAAGTTCGAATGATACCGTCATGATTGCACGTAATTTGAATGAAAAAAAAACCCAATAACGCTCACACAAATGAAAAATCAAAACTCTTCCATTTTTTAGCACTCCGCATTCTTTGCATATGTTTCGAACAACGATTGGGTCAAGAATGGCCGCGAATTGTGCGCGTTATGCGCGATTTAGGCAGACGAAATGAAGCCGCTCCAGAATTATGGAGCTTCTTAGAATTTGTTGTAACCCATCGAACACCTTTGTATATTTGTTTAATGCCATTCATTTTGCACAAGGTTTGTCTGACTGATTTGCAATAGTAGTTGGCTTCGAGTGAACAGTTCTATCTCTTCTTTCTTCTCTTAAGCGAGTCATGCGCTCTTCTTTTTTTTCTTTGCCATTATTCAGCATTTACGAACATAGCGAAACACCATTTTATATGCAAACATTTAATTATGAATTTGAATCCATAGATTTCCCAGCCGCCAATCGGCGATCATGAACGTCACATGCAACATTTGATTCGTGAACGAATGAAAGGAACACCCGAGCCGAATATGATAAAATCACGCGGAGCCTTGCTCCTTGAATTGGCACGTGAGCTGCGCGAATTAAAAGAAGAATTAGAAGAACGAAGATATGGTTTGTAGTTACATTTCATGTAGTTTTCTCTTTTCTTGTCCGTTTTTTTGTATTTTTTTGTAAGCGACAAAAAAAGAAAAAAACCATTTAGTGAACAATCTGAACAATCATCAAATCCCCATTTTCAATTTAGAAAAAGAGCCCGAACCATCAAAACGTGAAGTATCACAAATTCCACCGCCATCTGAACCACCGAAGCATCAACAACGGCCCTCGTTAATTTCATTGTTTACCGGTGGCCAACATTCCACATCGCATTTATCATCCCTATATCACATCGATTCACGACCCGTAGCCGCACTTTGCACACAATTAACGCAACACACCCTTCATCCACCACGGAATGAATCATTATCGAGTAGTTCAACGGTAACGAAAGAAGCCATTAGCGAAGGTTCAATAACCATAAACCCGAACAATGCAGGAAATGGATCGTCAACGGTACTAGGTGGTTCATCCGTTGGTAGCATATCGGAAGCGACAACAGTTCCTCATCTAACGCATTCAATGTCGTTGCAACAGCAAAATTCATGGAAAATGCAACCGCCACGATTGCGTTTTGTTTCGTCGGTTGAATTTAAGCATTCGTCTGGTGAAACGTCGACAACGCCCTTAGAAAGTCCGACCGAATATAGTTCAGGTGAAAATAATAAACCATCACGATTGCAACGTTCCAAAGCAAGCAGCCGTAAAACGTTTCGCAGTCGACGCGGAAGACAACCACCATCATCATCACAAGTTGGCCAAGAGGTATGCACAATATTCAATTCAAATTGAAATTGTCATCATTTATTCAGTTGTGTGTTTGTGTGCTTAATTCAATTTCAGAATCAATCATCGGATCAATCCGAAATGCAACCGCCAAAACCAACTGCCATAGCCGCTGATTTGTCATGGGATTCAGTGTCACAAACATCATCGACGTCTGGCTATCGTGATAACAATAGTCTTCAAACCGGCCTACTTTCACCAGACAGCTCATTAACCTACGGTATTCCACAAAATATGACACG